AGATCAGATCCAGCGGGCTCTGCGGGATATTGTTGCAGGCGAGCAAGAGGGGCAGCAGGAGCAGGAGCAGCGCACTACGCTCGTGGCAATTGCGCACCGACTGAAAACGGTCGCCGATGCGGATTTGCTTCTCGTTATTGAGGGTGGGGAGGTTGTTGAGGCGGGGAGGCCGAAGGATTTGTTGCGACGCGGGGATGGAGGGCATTTCCGGCGCATGGTTGAGGCCGATGCGGAGCGCGAGATGCTGGAACGGGTTATTTTGCATGCGGCGTAAGGGTTTGGATTTAACCGTTGTAATCTAGATGGTTGGTCTTCAAATTTGATGGTTCGGCGTGGTGGTGGGATCTAGATATATATATATCTCTCTCTGATGGTTGTACCCCATTTATCATCCAACTCCTACATAGCTAGCTACGACAATTACATTCTGTCATATGTGCCCGGGTTGGGTACTCGATATCGCCTTTTCGTACAGCGGATTTGTGGGCGGGGGATTCTTGGTTAGTACACAGCTTAAGCAGTGAAGAGTGCGACAAGCCCCAGTAAACTAGCAGGCCAAGGCATATACATGGGTTCACTGATTCTGTGAGCTGTTCCATCACGGAGTATACCTGGCTTGAGCTACTAGGTAGTATACACGCACACTAATCCGATAGGGTCTGGACACATTTTTGGCATGGTGGTAAGAAGTACCTAGTAGAAGTGCAGTCTGTTGGTGTAGCTCGCGCTCCAATCCGCCCATGGAACTGGCTATGTATCACTCGTTTGTTATAACTATACGCTGGAGATTATACTGCTGACCGTGAGGTGCCCTGTGATACTCTATTGTCATATATTCAACAGAATATTCACGCAATTGAAGTGGAAAGCTGGCGATATCTCTATGTCCCCGGATCACCTTGCCATCTGAACCCAAGGGTACATCTCCAAGAAACGTCACAAATGTTGATACTTAACTTTCATACGATCCGAGGGCCAGGAGAGGAACCATTTCCCGGTCATCCCCTTGTTGCACCTCTTGATGTCTTTTCCGCTTTCGACGGTCGCTCGGTGGGAATCCCCCAGACATTCGCGCCGCGCCTCAAGGACCTCCTCATGCAACCCTTTGGCTTCCGTCCACTTGCCCTGGTGCTCGAGACTCAGTCCGAGGCTCCTCGCCGCGGCCTGTGTGTCCGCATGCGTCATACCAAGCGCTGCCCGACGCGCATCGGCGACGGCCCTCCACTCGCGCTCACTCTCTGCGTACCGTTTCTGCGCATCCAGCGTGGCCGCAATATAGCATTGCGTCGCCAGCGTATCCTCCAGCGTGGCCCCCATCGCACGGCTCTGCGCATCCCGGGCCCGGCTAAGCACGTCCAGCGCCTCCGCGTGCTTCTTCCGCCCGTAGAGCGTGATTCCCAGATTAATCTGCGTCCTGTTCGCATCCTTCGGCGAGTAGTCGCGCATCCGCTTTTCGTGCTCCGCGACCTGGCGAAGTTTCTGTTCCGCTAGGGCGTAGTCTCCGATCAGTCCGTAGCTCGACCCCAGACAACGCATGCACACAAGAGTATCCTCTTGCAACACCCCGAGTTTTTCGCGGAGGATTTCAATCATCGCTTGGCAGATGTAGGGATGCGCCGTGTCGCTGTTCCCCTCGTAGTGCAAGGCATGGCCGAGCCAGAGGTTGGTTTGGGCCAGGTCATGGCCCGCGCCCCCGGTGGCTTCCTGGGCCTTGAGGACGGAGGTGAGGTGGGTCGTGGCTTGGCTATATTGCCCCAGACCGACGAGCGAGAGGCCGACCCAGAAGGATGTCTGCAGGGCTCTACGGTCATGTTCTCCGTGAAGGACTTTGCGCTCTTGGTGGACCTCTGTGAAGGCACTGTGCGCGGATGAGTAGGCCCTTTGGTGCCAGAAGGCCTCGCCGACGCGGTGGAGCTGGTCGAGGATGTCTTCGCGAACGGACTTTGAGGGCGAGAGCTGTAGTGTGTGGTGTAAGACGGAATGGGCCTGAGACGTTTTGACCACGACACCCTCCTTACAGAGGATCGATGCGACGCGTATGGTCGCCGCAAAGGTTCGCGGATGTGTTGACCCCAGCAGCTCTCGGCGGTAGTCTAATACCTTTTCAAAGCAATACTGCGCATCTTCATATTGCGACCTGAAGTCGAATCGGCCGCCTAGATCCGAAAGAAGATCCAGTAATGGAGCGGGATCCGATGGCGACGAAGAGGCCTGGATGATCTGTCTCAAGACCCCCAGCGACTCCGTGCACTGGCCATCTTGATACAGCTTGCGGGCGCGCGGGAGAAGAGTCGTCCGCATGACTGCATCCTCGACGCCACTCGATGCCTCGGCCTCGGTTGCTTGCCCGAAGAGCGCGAGGGCTTCGTCGCTCCTCCCCTGCCGATAACGGATCTTACCCCCGAGACGCAGCGACCTGACCGTGTCTGCATGTGTACTGCCGAGGATCAGCTTTTGGATTTCCGTCGCGCGCTGGTTGACTTCCAGCGCGGCCTCCAGCTGTCCCAGCGCGGTCAGCGACGTGCTCAGCCAGTGGTTCGTTTCAAGGGTGTCTGCGTGCGAGGCGCCGAGGGATTCGGCCTGGATGGTCGCGGTCGGTTGCAGTATGTCCTGCGCATCCTGGTATCGGCCCTGCGAGGCGCGCGCGATACCCAGTTGCTGCAGTGAGGCGAGGGTGTCCTTGCTCCGGGGACCGATCAGCTTCTTGCGTTCCGCGGCGGCTTGTTCGAATAGAGATGCTGCCTGGTCGTAGTTTCCATCCAGCATACATTGGAGTCCCTGTTGGTGAAGGAGGCGAGGTTCGTCCAAGGCCTCTGCCGGAATCTCGTTTCCCTCCGCGTCACGCGCTCCTTCCTCTTTCCGCTGCGTCGCGCCTTCTGGATCCGAGACCGCGCCCCTTGATCCCCCCGGCAGCTCCATCCGTGCTACTCCGGAGACCCCCCACGTACTTCCCATCGGCCAGCTCACCGAGCCCTGCGTCCCAGACACTTGTGCTACTGCTGCAGTCTGACCGCGGAGCACCGATTGCAGAGGAATATCTTGCAACAACCCCGGGATCTCGCCGGCACAACTGTCGGCCAGCCATGGATGCCCAAGAGCGGCAACCGCAGTGAGCCGATTGCTCGGGTCGACCACCAACAGAGCCTTGACAAACGCGCAGCCCTGCTCGCTAACCCGCTGGCGCGATAGCGGGTCCACCGACAGATCGCCTCCGCCGAGATACTGGACCAGCTGCGGGCCCTGGAATGGATACTCGTGGCACAGCATGTAGAAGACCGTCACGCCCATCGACCACAGGTCCATCGCGTACGTGCAGCGATATCGATTCCCCGCACCGCCTCCCGCCCCAGGCTTGTCAAGTCCAGTCGCATCGACCCTCCCTGCCGGATGGACAAGTCCTAGCACCTCGGGCGCGAGATAGTTTCGAGTCCCCACAAGCGTGTGCAGACTGTTGTCTCCGCTGTGCCGTTTGCTGAATCCGAAATCGCCGATTTTCACCCACCAGTTGGGGGGTTTCGAGGCGACGAGGATGTTCTTCAGCAGAGGAATTAACCACAAGTCACGGTAAATGGGGGAAAAGCTTGGGCCACCAACCTCAGGTTTCAGGTCTCGATGGACAAATTCGTTTTCGTGCAGACAGGCCAGGCCCTCGAGGATCTGGGTTGTGATATCCCTAGCCTGGTCCTCCGGGAGCGCTTCCGTGAGGTGCGATGCGAGGCTGCCATGTTGGATATGCTCCATGACGATGAAAACAGACCTCTCGTTCTCGTACCAACCGAGGGACTTGACGAAGAGGCCTTCGTACTGTCTGAGGTTAGTACCCACCCATACGAAGTGGCCAAAGGCAGCCTCGACTCACGAACCTTACTGCTCCTCTGCGAAAACTTGGCAATAGTCTCGAGCTCCGCATAGACATCGAAATCGACGCTCTTCGACACGACCTTGACAGCTTGAAGCTGACGCTGAAGCTCGTTTCCATCCACGTCCGCGCGACACTCCTCCAGCCAGACGTCGCCCGTCGCGCCGCCGCCCAGCCGTTTCGTCCTCGTCCACGTCTCCTTCTTCCAGTTCCGCCTCATCGACGGCCGACCGGAGCCCGAAGCATCGGTGCGGATGTTAAAGTAGTCAGTATGCGTCTCGTGGATTTCCACGACGAGCCGCGAGTCCGCGACCAGGTCGGGGAGCCGGCTCGTCGTGGGGGCCGTCGCTGTTGTCGTCATGACCTATTCCACCGGTATGTAATCAGGTTCATCGGCCCTGATATTCGGATTCGATGCATGCGTTGTAATGTGATTTCTCCAGAGTTGAAACTTGGGAGTTGGCGATTCCTTCGGCCCAGCCCCGGCCCCGGCCTTGGGCGGCGCGTCTGGTTGGAGAGCGTGGCTGTGTTGGCTGATTCGACAGGGATTGTCGCCCCAAAGGGTAAGGCTCTTCCATAGTAGGGTACTTTTGGTGACGTCCGTCCCCTTCCCTGGGTGATTATTATCCTGTGAATGCTTTCTTGTTTTCTTGGTTGCATGTGAGGCTCAATTAAGAAATCGTGTCCTGCACTCACCTTTCCCTGCTTTTGACCAGCGCCGCTGGTATTTTGTTGTGCATTGCCACGGCAGATGTCACGGCTTTCCGTTTTTGGATCCTGGCTTGACACCCCCGCTGGCCAATGCATAAGCCTTATGTATTTGTTCAGTATTAATAGGTGAGATGCTGGTTGGTGCTGCTCACTTTAATAGTAGGACTGGCTGGGCTGCCCGCGCGGGGATGGAATTGGACCAGGTTGAGAAACGAGCAGCGTACCAACAAGCTTCCGCGAGGCGGCAGAAATCGAGTTCATGGAATGCTCAAGTGATAGGTATACTAGTATTCCAAGGCATTTTACAACCTACTGTTCATGGCCAGTCGAATCCTGATGAAGCACATCTACAAGGCTGCGCCGTCTACTCGCTTAGGCGTCGAAGAACTTGTGTCATATATTGCAATCGCAACATATTTTTGCTATTAGAGGCAAGGTGGCCGAGTGGTTAAGGCGCTAGTTTTAGGCACTAGTGGGAAACCTCGCGGTAAGTTCCAATTACAATACCCTTTCCGGAAGACTGTATCTAATAATCACCCAGAGTTCGAATCTCGTCCTTGTCAATACCTTTTTTTTTCCCTTCCGCTTGCGCTGTCCCCAGCATTTCAGACCCAATATTTTCCCCAATCCGATTGAAAGGTTTCTCACAACGGACCTGCTCAAGAGGCCCATTTACCGTCCTCTTCCCGATACGGCGCGATTGATTTTCCGAGCCCGACACTTCCGGCAACAGCTGATCGCGACCTCGGGAAATGAGCGCAGCATCCACAGGAACCAACACCGACCCTTTGAAACCGGAAGATGCATGTAAGTCTTCGAACTCAACCCGGGCTGCAGACACTGGGGTTCGGAACCTACGGCGAAGTGTACAACGTCGATGACCATGTCGTCCTCAAGTCGCCGCGGGTATTTATCCCGCCTCAAAGCGCCGGTTCAGCAACGGAAAAATGGCTGTACGCTTCAGACTCCATCTTCCATTTCAACCTGATGAGGAATGAGCGGATAGTGCTACGCCTGCTGGAGCAGCGGCCGCACCCTAACCTCGTCGAACCCATCAACACCGATTGTCTCGAAGGCGTTTACCTTCGCAAGTACCTCACGCTGTCCCAGATCCCAAGCTCAACACAGCAAACAAGAATTACCTGGTATCAGGATATCATAAAGGCCCTGCAACACCTGCACGACGTCGGCATCGCGCACGGCGACGTCCGAATTGACAACATCCTCTTCAATGACCAAGGCCGCGCGGTCCTCTGCGACTTCAGCGCCGCCTGCCCGTTCGGCCACCCGAACCCGGGCCCTGGTTATTCGCCGAATCTCCCATTCCCGACAAACGGCATCGCAGATGTTTTTTCGGACGCGACTGATCGCTTTGCACTTGCGTCTCTGATGTTTTATCTGGAGGTTGGGAGGAAGCCGGATCTGGCTGTTGACAGCGATGGGGTGTTAGTCTTGCCTCTGGTCGCAACGCAGCATGAGGGTGTCGACTGCATGATCAAGAAAGCATGGCTTGGCCAGTATACCTCGACGGCACAGATGCTGGAGGACACTTATGCGCTCTGTTATCCTGGAGCGAGACATCCCACTTCAACAACTCATACAGTTCCTAGGAAGATCTTACGGGACCGCGTCAGGGACTGGCGAACGAGCCGAGAGGATCGTTACGGTGCGTCTCATGGCGGTCTTATTTTCCATGACTAACTAACTTGTACGCAGGTTGCGTTATCGATGGCCTACCAACAGAGGACGAGTTAAGTCGCCTGAGGACGAGTTAAGTCGCCTGGCGACTTTGTACGGTTGGGATATGGATGCTGATTTTGTGTTTTCTGATTACAAGCCGCCAGCGTCAAGTCAATGTACCATCTGATGTTCATTTCTCCAAGTTAAGATGTAGCAACTGGAACACAACACGGAATGCTCAGATGCTCGCTTGACCTGATCTTCCATCCAGCAATCCCCTTGTTGGTTTACCAAGCTTTTTGAGTTGGTGGTAAAGCGGCAAGTGGTGGTCTCTCCAGTCTATGACTGTCCAAGTTACCATCGCCTTCCACTGATGCAGCCACTCATTCAAATTATCTTATCCTGCATTCGGAGATCTCTGACAGCGCGGGAACGTCTGTCGCCCATGATGCGAGCTGCCCGTATGTACCTCTGGCCGTGGCTACGGGTGTTTCTCAAGGATGTCTAGATGATAACCTTCCAGAGGAACGTGTATTGTTGGATACTATAAATTTTTTTCAAAACCTATTATGCTTCGAATGTGCCTCAACAAGTCACATAGGCATCTATTGCAAGTCCAGGAACTGACCGAACATCCGCGCCTAGCGCTAATATGGACGTTCTTATGACAAGGAATCTATGGGCGACATCCAGAGATTCTTGAGCTGTGTGCTCTTGTAAGCTGTAGTTCAAAGTATCACTGTGTATTAACGGTTGATAAGGTACAAACCCCAGTATAAGCGTACAAAGGCTTGGAGGCTAACCATCTCAAAGTGTTCAAACTGTCTTGGTCTTTTGGACATGATTGTTTCTGTGATCATCAGGCTTCCGAAACTGCGTCCTCCTCTACCCTTGCCTTCAGCGCTTGGAATTCCGCCTCCTTTTTGTCAAGCTCCTCTTTCATCGCTGCCCATTCCACATTGTATTGCTTTTGCTGCTCCATCTTGCTGCTCACGAACAGTTCAACTTCAGGTCCAGCAACCATCCCGAACTCATCAATAGCAGGTAGATGCTGTCGAATAGCACTCCAAGCCCGGCTATCAGGCGCTTCAAAGCAGGAGTATACCAACTCATGAAACCAGAATCTCCCATCCTCCATGGATTCACGCATAAGGGCCGCCATGTTAGGCATTGAACAACCATCTGCTCTCTTCCGCTGCTCGTCCTCCAGGACATCGATGAATAAAGTGAGAAGCGAATTATACGTAGAAACATCCCCATCTTCCCAATCAAATGGTTTCTTCAGGAGCAGCCACCGCGGGGGCGAGTACAGCATCTGGAATGGGGCTGCATACGCCCACTCCCAATCGAGCACCGCGACGATCCTCAGATCCTGCGCGTTGTTAACGAGCATGTTGCCAGGCCGGAAATCGTCGCAGAGTGACTTGAACGGACCGTGGTCGTACTTTCGGTCAACGAAACGAGGTACAACGGCCGCGAATAATTTACTATGCAGATATTTGCGGCGAGCATCTTCCGGGTCGTCAACTGAATTAGGCTGCTCCCGCAGATGCTGCATGTCTTGGTTCGCCACTTGTTGGAAATAGCCGGTGGCTGTCGAGAATGTCTCGGAAACAGGGCCTATACCATAGGCAGTGTCAACTGGCAGCCAGAGAACAATTAACGGGGAAGCGCACCACCAACGCGAACACCCCCGTGGCTCTCTATTTCATTCATCTTCAGCGTCAACGGCCTCGAAGCAACGCCACGGCTGCAATCCGCATTCCCAGAAAGCGAGCCTATTTGCGGGAAATCATGTGCGGACAGCTCTAACAGGAAATTCGCGATTTGGCGGTATATAATTTCCCATTGTTTATCGCTGATGTCCTCCCAAAAAGAGTGAGCTTCTTCCGGGCCACTACTACCTTGCCGTAAGATCTTGTCCAGCGGTTCTCCTTCGATAAACTCCATGATGATGAACGCGCCCAGACCAAGCGGGTTCTCGTGGCTGAGTCCCCACGCTATAACAGACGGTATAGGGATATTTGTCTTGTCCTTGACAAACTGCATCGTGGCAGCCTCGTGGGCGATTTTCTCATCGCTATCCATGACGCGGCCAGGCACTGCGAACCGGACCATCCATTGAACGCCATCGTCGAATTTTACCCTGCAGCTCCAATTGAACGATCCGCAGTCATCGCCGACCACTTCTGACGGCTGATTATTTCGGAATGTCGAAACCCAGGTCGCGATTGGAGGCCCCTTGCTGCTGTTGAATCGGCTGGCCCAGGAAAGGGACTCGGCGTAGTGAGAAGCTTGCGCGCGTTCGTCCCAATCCATGCCACTCGATTGGAAGAGCAGCTGGTTAGCTGGTTTCTGTTTTGCGTAAAGAGGTAGCTGAGTTGGCAGTACTGTGTAACACGGGGCCACCGGAACAAGGGATACAAGCTTCTATTTCTTTCTGCGAGCCTGGGCGCATGTTCCCTGACATTCAGCTTGGACTTTTCCAGGCCCAGTACCTCCTGTTACAAGGGGCATCCCGATGCAGTACTCTCTTGAGGCGCACATGGTGGGTGGCTGGAGTTGGTACTGGGCAATACCTAGAGAGTTGACGAGTAAGCTGGTCACAGTCGAAACCAAATAAGTCAGTGGTGGTGGAGAGATTTCACAAAGGAGGTATTTGACAGGAGGTGAGACGCAGACCCGGTACACATTCCCACCAGCCCTGCCCCGCCTCAACCTGTCCATCCTGTCCAGCCTGTCCATGGTTGATCTCCATCGGTGGCTGTGCCAAGCATCAGTCCCAAACTAGTCTTGATATAGAATCAATCGGCGCTCCAACCATCGCGGTTTGGCCCCCAGCGGGCGCAAAACACGTGCAGAGCGCTTCACCTGCAAGTCGAGCGCCCGGCGCGACGTCTTTCCTCCACAAAACACAGCGTCAATGGTCTTGAGCGGGTATCGTGTATCGCCTCTGCTTGTATGTGAATCGCTTACGAAAGGATAGCCGATGAACCTTAATTTCAGCGACCGAGCCGCGAGATCTCCACCATGAAGCTGCTCGTGTGCGTGGCGCTGGCCCTCTGGGCGCCCAGGCGTGCGTGTCCCCACCAGAGACCCTTTCCAAGACCCAAGGGTCCAACAGTTCAAGACCAAGAACTCCAAGACTTGCATGAAGATATCATGTCGCGGCACATACATAACATAACTAACGACTACTCCAGTAACAACCGCCCAAATCTGCACGCCCGAAGATGGGCGAGGGACCTACAACATCACCGGCGCCTCACAAGCGCGCTCCCTCTTCTCAGACTGCGACACGATACTCGCAGACCAAGTCTCCATCGACAACTGGGACGATGCGGTTGACGGGACATTCTCCCTCTCAGGAATAACAAACATCACCGGCACCCTCATATGCAACTACGACGCGGCGAGGACGAACATCTCGAGTCTTGAGATGCCAGACCTACAGCACCTCGGCGGGTTGCAGACGAACGCGCGCCCATTCGACAGCATCTGGTTTGACGAACTGCAAAGCGTTAGCGGGAGGATTGATATTGTTGCGCCGGGCGGCGAGCCCGGGGCCGCGGCGGATGTGACCTTTCCCAGGATGAAGGATGCCGGCGCGGTTTCTATAGAAGCCGGTTGGACTCTGTATGTGGTTGTTGCTGTTTCTCTTCTCTTCTTCTTCTTTTCATGGAGCTACCCCTGCAAACCTTGCAGCCCCATTCCGCATTCTAGCAGGATATATCATATATCTACTCCGGCTGACAACCGGGCTCTAACTAACTAACTGCCTCACAGCATCAACTTTGAATCCCTCGAGACAGTCCAGGGAGACCTCATCCTCATCGGTGCCCCAGCCGCCCCGCTGCCCGCTCTCCGATCCGCAGGGTATATC